ATAAATAAATAAATAAATTCCCTCCAATCGCATATAAGCTTTCCCTTTTCACTATATCCATGCCAACATCTATTATTATTATTTTTATTTTTTGCAGTTTTTTGGCCGGGGCTGTGTTTGAACCCACCACTTCCCATATATGGGGCTGGCACCCTACTCCTTGGAGCCACAGGCACTGCCCCAACATCAATTATTTTTGACTTTTTAATAATGGCCATTCTGTTAGGGGTAAGGTGGTATCTCATTGTGATTTAGAAGCTGTCACTTTAACAGGTACTTGAATTCAGGAGCCATAGGTAGATGTGGCAATCTAGAGGAAGGGTGGTCAGGCAGAAGGAACAGTAACTGCAAAGGCTCTGAAATGGGAATTTTCCTGCCGAATCACAGGATGAAGAAGGAGATTATTCCTTCAGAGTGGAGGAGGGGGAAAAATAAGTGGAGAAGAATACAATATGGGGAGCATAAAGGATTCCACTACTGAGCAGAATCCAGTTCTGTCAGGATTCAGTTCTTTCAGGGATACCAGTCTAGTGAAAGCAGTCTTGTCAAGGTTACCAGTGACCTCCACATTGCCAATCCACTGTCATATCTCAGTCCTTATATTACTGGATTTGGCAGGAGGCTAAAACAATAATCCAGACAAGAGTTAGGAAGCAACACTAATACAGGTGAGAATTAACAGTAATAATGATAATAGATAAAGGTGATGATGGAGGTGGTGAGTAGTGGTCAAATTCTGGATATATTTTGAAGACACAAAATGATATTGCTGATGTGCTGGATGCATGATGTGAGAGTAAGGGGATTCAAGGGTAATGTCAACAGTTTTGGCCTGAGTAACTTGAAGAAAAGAATTTCCACTTACTGGGAGGAGGGAGGGCGATGGGGGCTGGGGGAGGGAGGGCGATTGGTGGGATCTCCCCTAATGTGTGCGACATGTGGGTATTCAGCACACCGCTGGGTGAAGGGCTCAACTACAATTTGAACTTTACCTTAGAATCAAAAACAACGGAACCTAAACATTTGTGCCTTCATATTAATTTGAAGTTTAAAAAATAAAAAAGTAAATAAGTAATTCATTAAAAAATAAAGTTTATTTTTAAAGTAGATATGAAAACTCGGCGCCTGTGGCTCAAGTGGCTAAGGCGCCAGCCACATACACCTAAGGTGGCGGGTTCAAATCCAGCCCCAGCCCGCCAAAACAACAATG